ACACTGCTGCAGCAACCAAGGCAAATTGGACCCTGAGTGCATCCTGGGGGCATTACTAGCAGAGATAGAGATGTGATCATCGCACTCTACTCAGTGCTTGTCAGGCTGCACCTGGAGTACTGGGTCCAGTTCTGGTCCCCACTATTGAAGAAAGACTGGAGAGGGCCAAAGGAGGGCCATGAAGATGTTGAAAGGGCTGGAGAACCTTCCCTGTGAGGAAAGACTGAATGAATTAGGTCTCTTCTTACTGGAGAAGAGCAAGCTTAGGGCGACCTCATCACAGTATTCTAGTACTTAAAGGGCAGCTGCAAAGAGGACAGAGGCTCTCTCTTCAAAAGGAGCCACATGGAGAAGACAAAGCACAACAGGTACAAGTTGCACTGGGAGAGGTTTCTTCTTGACATAAGAAAGAATTTTTTTACAATATGAGAACCATCATTCACTGGAACAACCTGCCCGGAGATATGGTGCAGTCCCCATTGCTGGAGGTTTTCAAGATGCGATGGGACAGGGTGCTAGATAATCTCATCTAGGCTCTCCTACTCATGAAAGATTGGACCAGGTGATCTTTCGAGGTCCCATCCAACCTGGGCTGTTCTGTGATTCCATGGTTCTATTGATGTTGACAGTCTAGAGCAAGGCCGGAGGCATGCCTGGCTGTACAGGAAGACCTCTCTGCTCACCACTCCCCGTCAAACAAATGTGCCCTCAGAAGTGCTGATCACTGTCCAAGAAAACTGCAGATGGGCTCTGGAGCACGTTTTCTCCTACATTCCCAGTGGAACTTAAGACTGCTGGTGACAGTGATCTTTTCCTATCAAATGCAGTCAATTATCTATACAGTGATAACTGCTGGTAGCATGGACTTTGTTGATAGCTGCTCCCCATCTGTTTATTTGTTTGGGTCCCACTTTAATGAACAGAAATCAGATAAAGCCAATTGCAGAGAGATGTTTTTCTTCTGTTGTTGGTGGTTAAAGACTTATTTAAGAGCATAGAAAATTACCACGCAGTCTAATCTGTCTGGTTATGAGCCTGGTTTTTTTTTATTGATCTACTTAAGTATTTTAATGACCATAAATTTAGATAGTGCATGTTTTTAAAAGTTGCCTGGGCCCCAGTTTTATTCTGTTCAATTTCCTTAGTAATTTAGGAGAAAGTTGTCCTTGCTTTGCAATTCTTAGCTAAGGCTTGACACATGTCCCACATGTTGTTTGCTAGGTGATGGGAAATGAATATGCTGATTTCTTGTTCGTGGTAAAAAGTGAAAATTTGCTTAATGAAGTTGCCTATTTTTAATAAATAAGATTTTTTCATCCTGTTAAAATACAAGTGAGGTTTTAAATTTCTCTTCTCCAACAGACTGAAAAATATTTTACTGTTAACAAGAATAAATAGGTTTGAAATCTGCTTTAGATTTAATCTCTCAAGGGAGAGGATTGTGTATCTACATGGTGGCGGAGCAGGAACGGTCTATCCCCTTGCCCGCCTCTCCAAAGACTGGGAATTGGCAGGACTGCTCTTTTCACCTATGAATAGTTAGAAGAATTAAGTTGTGAACAGACAAGCGACACTGGCTCCCCTGTTTGCACAAGAAAGTTCTGTGTGGTATGTGTGTGACTCTTGGAAATGGCATAGATCAGGTTTAGATGGAAATGTCTATGACAAAGAAAGCCCTCAGAGTATTCATTCTAAAATTTATCTCTTTAGGGAAAACTCTAAAGCTTTAATCTTTCCTGTACATAAGTAAGTCTGAGTTAAAGTAAAGCAGTTTCAGCTGCTACCGAAACTGGCATCCGTTGGGGAACTTTACATTCAGAGTCTGGCAGAAAATATTTCTCCACTTTGCAGTACCTACTTTTTTTCTCTTTTTCTTTATTTCACTTTGCTTGTTTTTCTCTTCTTTTAATTTTTCCACTTTTTTTCTTTTAAATGTCATAAATAATTTTTTTTCATCTGTGTCTAGTAATGATGATTTTTAGTTCATTGGTTAATTTTCTGAAATATGTCCCTTACTATATTTTATATATTTATATCCTTTTATCAATAATGAACAGTACTATTCTGATAATGTTTCAACTTTTTTTTTTCTTTTTTTTTCAGCAAACTTTTTAATTTGGTACTTTTTTTTTTTACAAATTAACTAATCAGGTTAAAACAAATATTTCAAAATTATTTAAATGTATTTTCTTTCATTTAATTGTATGACACAAATTCCACATCTTAAGAAAGAATAACAACAGTGCTAGTTGTTCTTACTAATATATCCTCTACACAGCTCAGTCCTAGTATTCTTTATTTCTGCTCACATTAATACTTTTTGTTTCTATGCTAGACCTTTTCTGCTCCTTGTGGGGTGTTCCAGTATCCTTAAATAGGATACATTAGTAAATACGTATTTTTAGGGTAGAAAAAAATTGTTACTCAGTTTTGATGTGAAATAAATATTGAACCCCCAAATTGCTATTAAATGAGAAACCATAGCCCCCTTGTTTCATTCAGCACAGCCAAATCTATTGCCTTCCATCAAATCCAAGCCATAGTAAAAAGAATCTTTTCCCAAGCTATGTTTCTCAGTAGTGTTGTATGCAGTATGCATGCGCTACTATATCTATATCTACTCTCATAATGGTAGCTATAGATGCAGGAGCATAACTGAAAATTATTATCAGACAGATTATTTTGTCCAAATGCTGCATGCGTTGTGTTTTCTTTGTTACAAATATAATCCTGAAGTGAATGGGAATTTTTGCCTCACATTGTGCCCACAGTGAATGCTCCTGATGATGTGGACTCCAGCTATTTCTACAGTATCCCCAGCTTCAAGCTCGGGCTTAACAAACAGATCAGCTGGTTGCATCCCCACCACATTTAGGGCAGAGCACAGGTTTGACTGTGCTGGCTCCCTCTCCTCTAGCGGCAGAGTGTGGCAGAGATGTAGACAGCGTGGCCATGGATGGAGTATGACCTCCATCCCCAGGCGAACACAGGTCTAGGTGACGGGGCAGTCTCAGAGGTCTCTGTGGCTTCAGTGCAGGCAGGATTACTGCTTTCAAAGAGATTACTGTGTGCTTGTGCTTGTGGTAATTTTTTTGGTATGTTCAAGGACAATACCAGACGTGTGTCCTCCCAGGCTTCACCTGTGAAATGAGTGCAAACTGAGCCCATTGGAGCCCTCTGCTCCCACCATTACCTCCTCTGTCTCAATCTCATTATCCAGTGTGTCATTCCTTACTTACCAAGTTCCTACTGTTGACTCCATTTCACTTGTACCAGCCATTTTATTCCTTTGTTTCTCGATTTCAGTATCGCTTTGGCAAAAGCCGCATCTGCAGCTTTGGCATCTGTAACTCACTGAAACACAGAAAACTTAACCCGATAGTTTGAAGTTGACTAGAGGTAATTGACAATTAAACCTGTTCTCTGGTCCTATAAGCATGCGAGGACATCAATGACACACTTTGCAAGGCAAACAAGTCCTGCACGTGACAGAGTATTCTCTGTGAAACTGCTTGTTTGGGTGCTTCCAGAGATAGCATACCTCGGTTCTATGATGTGCTGGCAATGCCATAGAAATTAAGGGCCTCTTGCTGTGAAGTCCTTTTTATTGCAGAGTTTGTGGTGGATTTGGTTCACTGATCACACCCAGGGTTTGTAGGAGGCTAGGGGGATGAATACAGTTCCTTTTCTCTAATGCTGAGACAGGACAACTGTTGTGTTTCCCTAAATACTGCTGCTCTGCAAAAGGTATGATCATGGGGAACTATTCTTAGCAGAAGGGGGAAAAAAAACCCTTACAAGCATTTTTGTTATTGATAAGACAGCACAATGAAACCTTTTTATGCTGACAAATAGTTTGGGGGCAAATAAAGAGAAAAATTGTGAATGGTATCTTTAAAAACTTTAGTGGGATTACCATATTACTGGGTACATTGTTGTTCTCTTGTGAACGAGAAGATGCAATATCAATTACTCACCTAACATTTAGACTCAAATTCTGAAATTTTCTACAAGTGAAATAGCCGTATTAGCCTTTGCAAAACACGTTATTAAACATACCCATATAGTGAATGCAAAGTGCACTATTCTTATCCATTTTTTACAAGGGATACTCTGAAATGTCATACATGTCTGCTAATAATGAACTTAAACTGAAGTTGTTTTATAGATTTGAAATCTATTATTAAAATAATTTGTTAGACAGTATTGCTAGTAACATATATTTGGTTCATCTCTCAGTACCCAAAGGAAATGATGCACACATCAGCAGGTGTTTCTCCTAGCTAAATGAAACAATGCACAAATGACAGACCATGAACATATTTACTTAGCCATAGGAATGATGATGCGATGTTTCTTCAGAAAAAAACAAGTAGCTTTGTTTCTGGGAATTGAATTTTTTGATGGCTTTTACTATCTCTCTGTCCTTTTAAGTATCTTTGATTGCCTCTACTAGATACATAGCTTCATCAAATGAAGCTCTTTTTTTGCTGTATCCTTTGGTACTTACATACTAATACAGTAATCCATAACCATTTGATGACATCCACAGCATCACGTGCAGGATATGTATTTCATTCCCCATTTTTCTTCTGTTTACATGATCTTATTTTACCAAAGGCCATGGGCAGGCCACAGGCTAGTTCTAAAAAGAAGGCTTGACAATCTTTTGTGCGATCATTTAAAGACTAAGTTTAGAATTCTGATTATTTTTACTTTTCTGTTTATGGACTAAAATTTATGCTGCAGAAAGTGAGCTGCTATGCACTGTGTAAAAGTAAATTGGAAAAATGTCAGGACAAAATACAGCATTCTGATGCTATGTTTATCAAACTGTCCTTAAATTATAAAACCAAACTAGAAGTGCAACTAAAACAGTTTTGCTCAGAAAAAAAAGGTCATTTGATACAAAGGTTGAAAGCCTCTTCTTTCTCACAGAGCCAGAGATTTGCAAAGATATATGTGTCTGTGTAAAATATTGGGCCAAAATATATTGAAATTTATGTTCTCAGTGAGACTGAAATTTTAAACTGTGTACTTTTCATTGCTAGTCCAAAATTTGGGGAGAGACATAAATTCTGGCCCAGTGAGCTGTTGCTATTCAGTCGATATAGCAACATTGTTAAGGTGAAGATTTCAACATGAGCAAAGCTGTACCCCAAGCATTTTCTTTTCCCAAGTCCAAAGATCATTACTTTTTCAGTTAGGTCCTTATTTATTGGACAGTTGTCAAGGACAAATCTTCCAGGGGTTTCGTCCATTATGTTCTAAAAACAAACATAATAAGGCTGGGTGTTTGCCTGTCTAATTTTCTAATCCTATGACAGGATCTAATATCAGTCTGCTAGTTCAGGAAAAAAAAAATGTTTTACCCTCTAGAAAGTACTTACACTTTTAGAACATGTGTATACTACAGTGAAGCCTAAAATTAACCCCCTGAATAATTGTGTCCTTCAACGTGGCTTCTTAGAAAATCCAGACTTAATAACTAAAATAGGAGCTGTGAATTATGGGTGAATCTAGGTGATGGGGCACTCGCTTTTATCTTAGTAGAAATCTTTTTCTAAGAAGCAGAAAGTGAAATTTTGCTAGTTTCATTCTTTTAACATAGGAAAGCTTCCATATGCCCCAGCACAGATAGACAGGCAAAAATAACTGTGGCTACTATCTGCTACTGAGATTTTGAGGAGTGCCAGCTGGACATGATTTGCCAGTCTTATAATTTTTAAGGCTATGTCATTATGATTTTGTTTTCATTTAATTGCAAATTATATTCATAGAATATATGCGTACAGTAATAGAGCTATTATTTGTTCACTTTTGATTAAGAAGATGAACAGTACCACTACAATGGAAAAGCAGAGGTTCTGAATATTCAATACTGGTAATACCCAAAGCCTATAATGACTAAATACAACATCCAGTAAAATCCAACTTACATCCGTGGTTGACTGATTTATGAAAACACAGGTATCTCTAGGAATAAAATATCCATCTAGTATAGTGTCTTCAGTAGTACTGAGGAAAAAAAGGAAATAACAGAATGAGGCATTCACGTCCACCTCGATCTACCTGTATCAGAAATAGGTGCAGCCAGCAGCAGTAGGGAGGTGATCATGCCGCTGTACTCGGCACTGGTGAGGCTGCACCTCAAATACTGTGTTCAGTTTTGGGCCCCTCACTACAAAAAGGACACTGAGGTGCTGGAGCGTGTCCAGAGAAGGGCAACGAAGCTGGTGAAGGGTCTGGAGCACAAGTCTTATAAGGAGCGGCTAAAGGAACTGGGGTTATTTAGTCTGGAGAAGAGGAGGCTGAGGGGAGACCTCATCGCGCTCTACAACTCCCTGAAAGGAGGTTGTAGCGAGGTGTGTGTTGGTCTCTTCTCCCAAGTGACTAGTGATAGGACGAGAGGAAATGGCCTCAAGTTGTGCCAAGGGAGGTTTAGGTTGGACATTAGGAAAAATTTCTTTACTGCAAGAGTGGTCAGGCCTTGGAACAGGCTTCCCAGGGAAGTGGTTGAGTCACCATCCCTGGAAGTATTTAAAAGACGTGTAGATGAGGCGCTTAGGGTCATGGTTTAGTGGGCATGGTGGTGTTGAGTTGATGGTTGGACTCGATGATCTTAGAGGTCTTTACCAACCAATCTTTTCCAATGATTCTATGATTCTATGATTCATGCATGTCCTTGATAGGTGAAGTGTTGTTATTGGCAAATGAAATTTCCAATGGAAATTTAGTTGAATTCCTTTCCATTTCTTAAATTGTAGAAGTTTAATTTCAAAATAAATAAAACTAATTTTCTATAGAACTCTTTTTTTTTTTCTTCTTTCCTCTGCATGCTTGAGCATTTTCAGAATACTAAAGTAACTAGTATGTCAAATTGCACAGTGTATTTTCTTACAAAGACAAAAATGAAAACTTAAGAATGAATTTCTTTTCTTAAGCTCATTTGGAATATAGACTATTATTATTGTGCCTTCTTAAATAATATAAAAATCTATTTTATAAAGCATAGCAACTATAGGAAATATGTGGGACACAGGCGCAAGAAAATATGAGTAATCAGACAGATTCCTGCACTACTGAAATTAGTTTCATAACCAAGAATGTAGGACAACCTAAGTCTTCAGCTTCTAAAAACATGCCCTTATTAAATCTGAATGTGCTATATCTTCAAGAATTCCCATTTTGTTTATAGTAAGATTTGAAAAACTTTGGCTAATCACTTATGAATGAAGAACCGTGAAAGTCACATATCATGAATGCTCAAGCACTTCATAAATGAAAGTTTCCCTGTAAGGCATTGTCTTCAAATCTGGGTAAATGCCTCTGCCCGATGTTTTCATTTGGATGTGCAGAAGTAAAGATTAATGCTGCTGAAAGAGACATAAATGTGTTCATACAACATATGCACTGCAGCTAGAAAATATCTGGCACAGCTAGTGCAGAATTGTAGCACAGAAGCTCAAAAAATGTAATCTTTCCCTGTCTAAAATTCAGAGTATATGAAAAATGATAAAGTACCACAAAATTCTGAATGTTTCTTTGCATACAAATTCTGTACTACGATGGTTTCTACCTTTGGCACTGAGTGTCTAATTTTAAAATGTACAGTTTCATTTAAATTGTACAGAAATAAGACTAAACTTCTGTTCCACTTTACAATTCCAATTTGTCTGTGGCCAGAAGAGAAGGAAATTGCAATGGATGTGGGAATGGATTGGATTCTTTATTCTGGTCCAGCTAGAATACTGGACCATAGTCTAACTCCCTTACTCATGTTGACTATTCTCTTAATATCTACCTACAGAATAAATACAAAAAAAGGGAATCAGATTTTTGTAAGTGTGGGTGGGATCCACACAGACACAAAAGCTCACTTAGGTGGACTAACTCTTCCTCTGGAGTCTTTTAAAACTGCTGACTTTTCTCCATTGACTATAAGAAAAATGAGGTGTGTGTTTCAGAAGGACTGTTTTGCCGCATATTTAAATCTTAGATCCAAGTGAAGTTCTCAAATTAAACAGATCATAGCTCATCTATATGTAAAACATTTTTATAGAGGCAAATTTTCAGACCATTTACCAGTTTCCTGCTGTATAGTTTTCTGAGTTTTGGGAAAGAAAATTAGATTAAACACCAGAGCAATCCAGTTATAGATGTATCAAAACCTGTAAAATTAAGTATTATATTTTACCTTAGATGTGTCATTACAATTATTCTGTAAAAAGGATTTAATTTTCATAATGCCTGCCTTTAGCTTAATGAGACAGAAATCAGTTTCATGAGTATAAACAAAGACTAACACATGTACAGAAAAATAAAAATATTTAAAATTTTATAAACATTTTTATTAGCTCTGCAATGCAAATATGGAGGAAGAGGAAGAGGAGAAATTTCTCCTTTTAAATGGCTTTATGTGCTAACTTTACTGCTCCAAAATTGAATTTGTCGCTATAACTAAAGTAAGTAACTTTGATATTTAACCTGTAGGTAGCTTTTTAGATTGAAAGCACAGTCTATCTGGGGGATACAGTGTTTTACATATCTGAAAAGTATCTCGTACAGTGGGGCTTTGATATGGATTCCTGTATTGCACCTGCTTTAAAATTACACTTGCAATTCTAGTGGTTAACAACATAGTTGAACAGTGGGTGGCATTTCAAAAATCAAAAGAAAAATTAAGAAATTACTTGCATACAAAACCTATTTGCATGTTTTATGTGCAGATAATTTGGCTGAATTCTTCATGATGCAGAAAGACAGAACTGTTATATAAGTACCTTATATGCCACACCAGATATAAGCATATTTATGATTTTGATGATTAATTAAAATGGCATTAAACATCATATTTCAGTGAAAGACAACAAATCATCTCTGTTCTTAAACAATAGATTGATTTTTTTTTTTTTTTTTTGCTTTAAAATATTTTATTGGCTATAATAAATGTACTGGAGTACATAGAAACAGTGCAATAGGATATACGATAAGAGGGAAGTTTATTAAACAAATTTTACAGTACAGAGAGACCAACCAAAAGTAATTATGTTTGATTTATGATAATATAAATGAATGAAGATGCTATTTTTAATACTCCTTGTGATGTACAATCATACTTGATCCTCCAGGAATGCAATTGCATGAGTTCTTCTTTTGTTTAAAAATAGACCTTGATATTATATGAAAAACTGGCAGCTTATATTTTTAAAAATATGATGGCAAGGCTATAGTAACTAAATTTATTAAATTTATCTTTCTGTATAATACTAAAAAGGACTACAAAATCTTCTTTATATTTTGTAATCATTGTAACTTCATGAATTAGTAATGAGAAATATATTGAAAAGTCAAGAAAAGATTAAAACAAAGCTCATATCAGATGTTCAGGAATGAATTATACTGCCATTACAATAGACTTCTGCAGTTTCCATTAATTAGCACTAAAATGGGCTCAACATTTTTATTTCACTATTTCTTTACATCCTAAGCTATCAATACCATGACACATAATATCACTAACTTACTAAAGAGTCAAACTGCACACAATCTTTAAAAGAGCAGTTGCTAATAATAAAACACAGTAGCACTGCAGTCCATTTTCATGGCAAATTTCGCCAGGCATTTTGTGTGGATTGCCATAATTTAATTGCCTTCTACTTTATCTTATCTTTCAAAAGCTGAAACACACAACAGATTATAAGTCCTTATATTCACAATTACCATTGAAGATAATTCTCTTTTAAATGGAGATAGGTTAAAATCAGATGCAAAACTGTGCAGGGTTAAATATTTAATGGTTAAGGTAATGGAAATTCACACTCCTCTCTGCCCTCCCTGAACTTTCTTGAGCTGCAAATTAACAGAAAATCTCACAGAAACAACCATTAGCATAAGCAATTGCACTCTCATTAGTATAGAAGGGAATTATGCCATTGATAACAATGTAAGAAGGATCCAGACCTCCTAAGTGGTGCTTGAATCTTTCCCTTTCCCCATGTCAACCAAATAGTGAATTAATGTCTCCTAGAATATATTTAATTTTGATTGAATATGACAGTTATTGGATAGTAAACTCAGGACTTTTGAGATCTAACGGGGTAATAGGGATGCAGGGACCCAATCAACTCCTCTGTCAGCCTTTCAAAAGCTTTCCAATTATGTGTGATTTTCAGATTGTATGTGTTCTGTTCTAACATTCAGCTGAAATGCTCATTGCTGTGAGTGGGAGCTACAAGCCTGTGTCATTAGTAGGACTGCAAGTAGGTTAGTGCATTTCATGCATTGTGTATTATACAGAGCTTTTTGCCCGTGTTATGTGTGTAAATGGGTCCAGACTGAATACTGACCCTATAGACTTTGAACTTCAAGAAAGAATTAATTTCGGATCCTAATACATACTCTCATAAAATTTGTACCTGCTGAGATCTAAAACAAGAGCTAAACTAATGTGGGGTAGTTGAAAAAGAATACAGATCCATTTTTTATGAAACATATTAATTTTTTGTTCTGTGGTGTTATTTCTTCTAACTCAGGACCATCCAGCCCTCTGTGGTTCCAGATATCCCATATTTCCCAGTGTGCCTTTTGCTTTCCCTCTTTGCACAGTAATATTGAAAGGTTGAGCTTTTTGAAATTAGTAAGGACTACTTTGCAGGAAAATGTCTACAGACTCCAGGAACAGAATCTGTGTTACTGTCACTTTGCTTCGTGTCAGCAGGGTTAATAGGTGAAAGCTCTGTTTAGTCCAAATCCAAACATCTTTTCTGAGCTGTATAACGAGACCCAAATATACAGAACTACACCCTTCTTCCAGCCGGCAGATTAAACATGTTAACTATTACACTGCACAAACTAGAAGACAAAGAAGGGAGAATTTCATACTTGATATTGTATATTCCTCTGAATTTGCTTAAGGTGAATATTTTTTTCTTAATAAGAGAAAAGGTGCATTCTATATGTTGAAAAGCTAACAAATTGCAGCTTGGAGATACCTCAGCAAGTACAAAGACTTAACAAAAAGATAAAATTAGAACATATTTGGGTTTGGGAAAAGAAAGCTGCTCATTAAGCAGACTTTTAAATGTTGACAATAAAAATATCAATGTCCTTAGAAGGACAGCTTTTCTTGACTAGAAACCTTTTTCTGTTTTACGATCTCTCCATAATCTCAAGATTGCTCTTCCGTCAACCCATTCACTGTTTTGTCTGCTTTTTCCATTTAAATGCTTAAAGAGTTTTGACTTATTTTTAAAGGTAATAAGTATTTAAAAGAATTAGTTGTCATCAGTGCTAGCTGTAAAAGGATAGTTTTGGTTAGGATATATTATCACAACTTCTTGTCCTTTTTCTGCTTGATATTTGCTCTCTATTTAAGGATACTGGAACATGCTAAACATATTAAAGTGCTCCCACTACACTTTCTCATGCTTTCTAGTAGTGAGAGCAGGAAGAATAGGGGAAGAAACTGAAGACCCCAATAACTGACAAAGTAGTAAAGAAAACCATATGTTTCTGAAATATAAGCATACCTGCCCCAAATATGTTATTGACAGTGGAAAGAATCTGCTCATTTCTCAACATAGCTTCACCACTTTGACTTTTTTGGCCTTCACATAGTGCAATCAGAGTATCAGTAATATCTTTAATGCAGTTCTACAAAGCAGTATGTGGATTATTTGTTTATTCTTCAGAATTTAACATAGGAAGGAGATAGAAAAAGTGCCCTTTAAATAGGAGATGATACATTTTTCAGTACCCTAATCCTACAACTCCTTGATAAAATGAAGGACAAATTGTAATTTTTGTTATTTGAAATCAAGGGGTTCTTGAAGAATTAAGAAGAACAAACCTTCTCACTTGATCATAGGAGATACAGAGTTCCTGAATATTTTTGTCCGTGAAACCTTTTCTTGTTTTGAACACAAGTGAAGACACATCTCAGCTTATTGTCAGGAAGACGATGAAAAGCGGGGAAAAGGTCTGCAGCATTGCTACAGCTGAAGATCTGCATGACCTCATGGCTGATTTGAAGAACTGTGAGGAACTCCTTGTCATTTTGGTTGTACCTTTTTCCAAAGCACAGGTTACAGATGACACTTGCTAAATATCTGGTGAGGAAGCTAGCAAAATCAAAGCTACCCGCTGTGTCTGAGAGGTCCCTAAATGCTTTCACAATCTCTGAAACTTCAAAGTGTATGTGTTCTTGTAGCAGACAAGAGCATGTAAAGTTTTGGTCTGCTCTTGATGACAGCTGTCTCGGGGCATTTTTTGCAATCTCCTTGTGGACATCCCATCCTTCTCTATATTTCTTATTGAAAGTCATACATCCTTCATTTTCAGTCAGAGAAAAACTATAAAGATCTGATCTGCCAACAAAGCTTTCTCCTTGTATTTCTAAAGCCTGCTTAAATGTGTCAATGCCATGCAGAACTACCACTGGCATGGATCCCAGCTTTGTTTGAAACATGTCTCCATATTTCTCTCTTGATTTTGTTAGTATAATATGAGGATCTTCTTCAAGTTGCAGCAAGTTTCCAGTAATCGGCCAAGGGGTTGGACCCAGAAGCCTCTTCATCCTTTTCTTACCTGTCTTCTTCCACTTTATAGCAACAAAGACATCTGCAAATAGAAGCAGCCCTATCATCTCATAACTGCGCAGCAGTGCTGTGAGTATTTCTGTGTACGATAGAATCTGAAATAAAAAAAACGTTCAACACAGTGTGTCTTGGCACACACAGACCAGCTAAGAAGCACACATGCTTCTATGTGAAGTAAAAGAAAAACCTAGCTATTGCCAGTATTGATTATAATTCTGCTTATACTTGATAAAACTCATCCTGCATTAAGAGGGTGTCTTATGCACTGCATGAAGCCCCTGAAGTCCTCTTTACTTTCTATATTGCTATGAAGCTAAAAATGTAATCTACCTCCTTCATTCAGCCTTAAATAAAAATCTAGCTCCTTTTATGATTTTTTGTTGTTGTTGTTGTTATTTTAGACTACAGAAAACAAACAAAAATAGAGAGCTGCTATAAAGGAAGGACAGTTTTGCATGTTAATATAAACTTTATGTTTTTGGAAGAGGAAATGTAACAGAAGCTACAGGTGCATTGCAGTAATAGCTAGACTTGCAGATATTATCTGCTTCTTTCATTTTTGTCAGGTGATAAACTGCAGGATTATACAGGCATCATAAAGAAGAAGAGATCCTCAGTCAGTAACACATTTGTAAGAATCTTCAGCTGCCCTCACATCTCACGATGTTGCAGATGAGACACAATATTCATTAAATAATGAACAATTTGCTTGAATCTTTTTCCACTGTATAACTCTCAAATGCACATCAGAAGCACATGTCTGTTCCTATAGAAAATTGCTCCCAAAAAGCTATACTACATTTTTTTTTTTAAAGTTGAATTCATTATTATTCCTCTCGGTGCTGCTGAAATTGCTATTCATTACCATCATATTATTTTGCTTATCAAAAACATATGCAGCATATGCTAGATGTATTTTTTTTTTGCTATTACTATATGAGAGTTCAGTAAGAAAACCATGAAAGTTTTAAGTAACATGCCATTACAGACTTAAGTTTTAACAAACATAAAACAACACAAATTCCTCAAACCTTTTTTTTAACAGAATGAATAATTTTTGTATAAATATTTAGTTAGCATACTACCATGAAACAAGTAAAATTATATAATTATATCACACTGAAGAACTATGATCAATAATTTATACAGAGAGAAACAAATTATTAAAATCAAATAATTGAAAACATATTAATAGATTATGCATAAAACCACAATTCTTCACATGAACAGTTTAGTCTTACCCAGTCTAATCTCTGAAGAAATTCAGTATTTTAAGTACAGTCTGTATTCCCTTTACAAACAATGACTATTAATTTTTAGAGAGTGAAAATGTGTCACTCCTGATTCTGTTCTGCTTCTTTTATGGAGGTAGACTGTGTTAAGAAATAATTCCTTTTCAGGATTTGAGTGAGAAGGCATATTGACTTGTTGCATTGATGGAAATAGGTTGTACCTTCATATTTACAGCCAGTTCCTTCAGAGCTTCTGCAGCTGTTTGAGGCTAGACTGAAAAACTTTCAAATATTCTTCTGCTCCTAAATTTTAGGGGAGGAGAAAAAGGGAGGAGCTGGTGATGCCAGAGAAACCATAGAAGAGAGCAGTAAATTAGAGACCATGCAGATTATAATTCAGACAGCTCTTTGCGAAATAAAAGTATGTTTTGCAAAAAGAGTTCCAAAGAACAGTTTAAACTGCTACCAAAACAGAAAAAGGTTCTTCTCACAGGAGTCACTCTGGCTGCATGATTATCATCTGTCCTGTGTGCTGCATTTCTTCTACATACTTTCTTTTCTAAGAACCATTAAGTAAGTTTTGCTTGCATCAGTTAGCCTTTTTCTATCCGTTTTCCTCTGTGTCTGATTTGTTATCATTTTTGTGAACCTTCAACCCCCTGGGAAGTGCAGCATGATCAGTGCAGTATCATTTCTGCCTAAAGATCAGAGTAAAGGCAAGTTATATATATGGCCTGAAAACAGAAATCTTACTGGATACGCCAGAAAATTGCAGCATAAATGTGTAAAACCTTGCTGGTTTTCTTTAGAAAATGTCATTGACATCTTACTGAGGCAAAACAGCAACTAAGCTACCAAAATTTTGGGACACAATACCACAGATGGGGAATTTTGTCTCCCCTTACTATATGTGTTCAACTTAAATGTCCCCTCAGTTGTGAGAGCCATGTTCAGCCTTCACCTCCACTGGATGCATGTCTAACCAACATACTGCTTTACAAAAATTATTCTAGACAAGTGAACCATATTAAATTTTCCTTCCCTCACAGCAAGAATGAAAGTATAGATAATATATTTCCTTGTTTAGTTTGTTCATTTTTCCACTCTATGTTTAAAAGAATATTGATTTTCAAGATTGCCTAGTCTAAATGCTTAATAAGTCAATTTACAGGCATAGAGCATATGCAAAAACAGGGCATGCCAAAAGAACTACAAAGACGCAGGGATTCTTCGCAGCAACACAGCTATGCACAGCACGTGAGCTGAAATCAGTGTGCCAAGAAACACTGGAGGCAGAAAAATGGCCTAAACTATAGCATCTAAACAGTCCCTCGGTCTGAATGCGGTTCTGCCCGAACAAATGTCTTAACCTCTTGACACTGAACGTGGGGTGATTTTAAAATTGGGCACAAAAGAAATTTGTGCTTGTAGTTTACCTTATGGCAGAAATGAGAGTCTAAACCAAAAAATTCTACCTTTCAAACTATAAAGAAGATCTCAACATATGCTTGTTGCCTGATTAAGCCATGGCCTGTTCCTGCTGGGATCACCCTCTGTGCATCCAGCTGCAGTAATACCCACATTCAGAAAGGCTATGGCTCCCTCTCTTGTCGGTTTTTTTGTACTTCATTGGGAAAGAATGGGTAATGTGTACCTTCACGTTTTAACCGCTTGAGTTTGAAACTAAGCATACTCACCCAGTGTCTATATGCAGGTATTCCACTAAGCACCAAAACCTTTTATTTAAAAAAAAAAAAAAAACCCAAGAATAACACATCAGTCCAACTTGATCACCACCTGCGGGAAAAATCTGCCAAGGATGACATTCCTTAAACCAGAGGCAAAAGGTGCTGTTCAGGCTGTTCACTTTGAGGAAAGCCATTGCAAGTTCAATGGTTCCCTTAGGCCTGAAGTACCACCATCAGCACTTATATTTAGAGCCATTTAGATTGCTACTGACTGACAATCAAGAGAGCCCCCTCAGAGGAGCCACTCTGACTGTATAGCAAATGTACGTCTCAACAGGAGGAGTCTGGGCTCTTCTAGTTTGAATCCCTCATCAGTTTTCATTTGTGCAGGTGTTCATAAATAAAGAAGGGTCTTCCAGGAAAAATCACTGCTGAATCAATAGGAGCAAACTTTGATTGGACTGCAGAAAGATCTGTCAATCACAGTTGAAATCTTCCAACTCTTTTCTTTTATGTCCAAACCATGGTCAAAATCCAAGTTACGTCCACTGAATGATTGCATCCAAAAGATGTTTGGGACAGTATGACTGGGACAATGTTCAATCTCATGAGTTAGCACTGGATAAGTAATGTCCTCACGTCCTCAAGTACATTCAGTCTAGGGCAAACATGGACAATCTCTTTCCAAAGCAAATGAAGACTCAGTCATGTGCTATGAGTTTGTGTAGTTAATTTCCACACACCATTTATACTCTGGCTTACTACCAACACAGTTTGCACACTGAATAAATCCATGTTTTGAATGAGACACATTTTAAATAAAATTTACTTGTCATAACCCAGCTCCATCACTTTTCCACTTGATATTGCACCAGGTCTCACAGAACAGAAAGGTTGGCAAAAGGCCAGCAACCTCATCCAGCCAAGTCTTGGCTAATCATAAACACTAATAAACAATTAAACAGAAACAAAGCAATGAAATTCTTGAGTGGTGAGTTCAGCTGACACAGGCTTTCATGCCTGTAGCAGTTCCCTCTCGTGGCAGTAGGCTCGGCTGGTTGGAACCTCTGACTTCCGACCTCTTGTCTACCAATTTATCTGTGCTCTTCATGAAGCAGGTTACAACTCACCCCGCAGCAGGGCCACCAAGGTGGCTAAAGGTTGGACGACCTGACCCATGAGGAGAGACTAAGAGAAGGTTAGGGAGACATCCTCCTGCTACCTTCAGCTACCTGATGGGAAGTCATAGAGAAAATGGAGCCAGACCCTTCTCAGAGGTGCACAGCAAGAGAATGAGAGGTAACAGGAACACAGGAAATTCTGGCTAGATTTCAGGACAAAATTTCACAGTGAGGTGGTCAGTGACCAGGCTCCCACAGATGATGTGCAATCTCTGTCCTTGGAGATAGATATTCTGAACTCAACCAGACAGGGTCTGTCTACGTCAGCCGGCCCTCCTGTGGGTAAAGGGTTGGGCTCACCTCCAGAGGTGCTTTCAAACTGAAGTTATGCTGCAATTCTCTGACTGCAATTGAAATTCCACCGGACACAACTAAATCCAGTGTTGTCAGATGCAACTATTGAAAACCCTTGAGACAGATGTCCCCAAAAATCTGAGCCATTTAAACAGCAAAAAAAATACTGCAAACCATTTTTACTGCAAGCTTTGGTCTTCTATTTTCAATAACTTTTGAAAGTTCAATTGTATAAGCTTTCTCTGCTTTGTTGATACAGTTAAAATACCTTAATATTCTCTGATGACAACATGATTTTATAGATACCAGACTGTCAGAAAAGATGATTCAGTCAGGCAAGTTCATTGCAAAATACACTCACAATAAAATCAATGGAACTGACAGCACTGAGTAAGAATATGAGATGAGACTTTTGAGAATGTGCATTGATGACGTCTTCGAATAGCCCTGCGAAATGCAGACCGAGCAAATTCCAAATGCTAGTTAGTATGGTGCATAACTTTTTAACAGTGGAATAGTTATTAGTTGCAAAGAAACAGTCATTGCTTTAATTCAGAGACTAATATAAATAGCAATCCTGGTTATAAAGGCTCCCTAGACATAATTTGGGCTTCTTTGACCATGGGGAGGT